TCCTGACCTCAGGTGATCCACCAGCCTCTGCCTCCCAAAGCACTGGGATTACAGGAGTGAGCCACCACGCCTGGCCTCTTCTCTATTTTTTTTTTCACTGCAATTACTCTTATCTAATTTTGAGTTGTATCAAATTCTCAATCCAGTTAAGATTCAAAATTACATATCAGCTTGCTAGTCTAGCGCTTTTCCTTACTCCTCTCCCTGAAACGTCCTCAATTCTGTTTCTATTCTGCGTGGCATTTTCCCCACTCCCGTGGACCGGTGCCCAGGGCCCCATACCCCCCAAAACCCTTCAACTAGTAATTAACTAATTTAACTGTGTATATAACATGTAGAAGAACACTTTTCTGCCAGTAAAAACATTTTCTTTCAAGAAATAGGTAGCAGCTGTTTTCATAAATCCTTCCGGGCCAGACATGGTGGTTCTCAGCTGTAATCCCAGCACTTTGGGAGGCCGAGGTGGGTGGGTCACCTGAGGCCAGGAGTTTCAGATAAGCCTGGCCAACATGGCAAAACCCCGTCTTTACCAAAAGGACAAAACTTAGCCCAGTGTGGTGTGGTAGGTGCTTGTAATCCCAGCTACTCAGGAGGCTGAAGCAAAGAATCGCTTGAATACAGGAGACAAAGATTACAGTGAGCCAACGTTGCACCACTGCGCTCCAGCCTGGGCAACAAGAGTGAATCTCTGTCTCAAAAAAACAAACAAACAAACAAACAAACAAACAACAAACAAAAACTCTTCTCCATATGAATTGAGCCTACAATTATCTTGCTCTTAGAATTTCTGTAGCGCTTATGCACACATAAAGTGTGCGAATTCACACTTGGTTCTGGGGACTCCTTTCAGGAATGCCAGCTAAGATGTGGCCCCTAAACCAGGGGACGTGCCTCGAGTGCCTCTTCAGTCCTCCTACAGTGTGAAATAGAGTGCTGCTTCTGCAGCATTGAGCAGCAGTCCTTGAGAGGGTAGAGTTTGGAATTTGATCTTTGCAGACTTGAGTTTTAATCCTGACTCTGTAACCTATAAGCACCATAAGAAAGGTACTCAAGCTGTCTATCTCAGGTGTCCAGTGTGGATAGTACCCATTTTACAGGGTGCGATGGTTAATTTCAGGTGTCCACGTGGCTGCCTTAAGGAATACATCAGGAATTGGTAAAGCATTGTTTCTGAGTGAGCCCGCAGGTATTCCCAGGAAGATTGGTGTGAGCTGGTGGACAGAGTGAGGAAGATGCCTTTAGTAGAAACAGGCCCCATCCAATTCTCTGAGGCCCAGATAGAAGAAACAGGGCAGAGGAAAGGCGCTTTCCTCCCTTTCTCTCCTGGAGCTGGGACTCTTCTTTTCCTGCCCGTGGACACCACAACTGCAGGCTCTTCTCATACTGAGAGTTACACCATCCACTTCCCTGGTTCTGAGGCTTTTGGATGTGAACGGAGTCACACTCCTGGCATCCCAGGGGCTCCAGCTTGCAGAAAGCCTGTGCTGAGACTTTTCACCCTCCAATTCCTTTAATAAATCTGCTCTGATCCATCTTTGCTGGTATCCTGTTGGTGGCGTCTCTCAAGAGCCCCGATTAATCCATAGGGGTGATGTGAGGGAGCAATGAGGTCGTGCATGGGGAGCATTTCACAGCCTGCCTGACACATGCCCATGTCCTATAGGCTGCAGCTGCAGCTATTCTAGAGCTTAGTGTCAGGGCTCAAAACAGTGGAAGGCCTTGCCTCCGGCACCCAGCCCTCGTGTTGATCTTTTCCTGTCATTTTTCAATTCCAGAGTGTTTTCTGGAGAGCAATTCGGTGTCCCAGGTAGTATTGACGAGGGGCTAAAATCAATCCTTACCTGTGGGAATCTGAAGCTGGGAGTGAGCAAAGGTGAGAAAGTTCTCAGGAGTCAGGAGCAGAGGAAGCTGCATGGTCAAGGGGAATCGACATGAGCCTTCCTGCCGTGTGTTCTGTTTCCTGCGGTCTAATGAGAAAGAGACATATGTATGTCTACATCATCTCATACTTAGCTCTTTAATATGTACAAGGTGTTTTCAAATTTTCCCACCGACTGTCCTTGACAGCTGAGAACATCAAGATTACCTGTTGTTGGTGACTGTTGTCAAGGGGATCCGCCCTTTAGGGACACAGGAAGATTTGCCTAAAAACGTCAGGAAGCTTGATATCTATTATTTTATTATAAAAGTCAACTGCAGTTTTGCTGTTGACTTCTTTTCTTTACTCATTCCAATGTTTATTTTAAGCCTGAGCTTGTGGGTAGTTGGAGAAGGAGGGAAAATATTTAACACTCTTATTAACTAATTTTACTGTGTATTTAACATGTAGAATAAAGAAAGACTTAAATGAAGATGTAGTATTTGTGAATGCTCCAACAAACTAAAAGATTATTTAAATTATTGATTTCTGATTGAACCATTTATTGTCTATAATGAATTAAAAGTTTGTGAAAATAAATTCAGTGACCTTTGGCATCTATAATTTCAAAACCGTAGTAATTTTTCAAAGCTGAAAATGCCTGAAACACCAGTCTGCCAATCATCACAATAAAACATGAAGCCCCAGTGAAAGAGCTAGTCAGGATGGGTTCCCAATAAATAGCAGTTGAAGCTCCAACTACCATCAGGTGATGAGAAAACACGGTGTAAGGGCCACGTGTAATTTTTTAAATGCCAAAAGAATCGTCACAGACCGTTTTGGCTTGCAGAGCTTGAATGGCAATATGGCATTAAAATAAGGTACACAAAATTAATTATTGAATGTAATTTTGAAACACACTGCTAAAGTGCTCCCTAATATTCAACAAGCCCAAAAGTGACCACTGACAAGACTTCGTTTATTGCAGTTTTTATGCTGTCATTATGGAAAAACTGTAGCAGAAAGTTCACCAACCTCCCTTTGGAAAGAGACGTACAACCACGGCCAATAGGCTTTCCTAAAGGACAGCAGGAGCTTTGCACTGGGACTTGTTTCCCGTCCATAACATACAAATAGTTATTGTTCGGGGTCAATACAGCCTTGCAAATACACAGGCTTTGAGTTATACCAAGCATGCTCGTCCTTATATGGTATGTCCATATATGAAATACAAAAGAAATACACCACAAAATGATGGTGTTCAGGACATGGGGGAAGGCCCTGTTTCTGTGGTACAGCGTAACACATGGAAACTGCCTATAAAGCCAGTGCTTCACAACCCACGCCCTTATTACATGGAAATTCACGTTTCCATAATCACATAAAAGTTTAATGTGCTATTCATTATAAGATTAAAGGTTATGAGTTATTCTGTGCATGTAATTATTGACAACTGGAAATTAAATCGCGATAATTCTTTACTCTATTCCTTTTAAAATGATAATTTTCTTTCTCCTTTTGCCTGAGAACCATGCTTCGACAATCATAACACCTTACCTCCTAAAGTAAATGATCACAAATAGAATATATATTTTATATATGATATATAGTTATATTTATACATTATATAACAATATAAATATATATTTATATTTTATCTTGGTATTGATAAATTTATATAAAATATAAATATTTATATATATAATCTATATATGAAATCTAGACATATAAACCTAAATATATAAAAATAAATATATAAATATACAAATATAGAGGTAATTATATACAAATATATAAAGATAAATACAAATCATATATATATACATATATATACATGCACACATTAGGAATACACAGGTCTTTTCTGTATATAGCAAAGACCTGTGTGTTTATATAAAAACCCATGTATATATATATTTACAAATATGTATTTTATATATATATACACATTAGGAATACAGTAGTAGCAAATTCTACTATATATAGAAAAGACCTGTGCATTTATATAACTATATATGAATGTAGATTACACATAGAGACATTACAAATACACAGGTCTTTTCTACACATAGCAAGTTCTATATTATTCTCTCACTGCAATGATGGACAACTGGGTATTGAGTAGTGAAAAGTTTTGTAGTTTATTCTTCTTAAAGTGGTTATTTTCTTTCTCTTTTTGCCTGTGAACCATGCTTCAACAATCATAACGCCTTACCTTCTAAACTAAATGATTATATATAACATATAAGTATGTTTTATATATAATATAAATATTTCTATATATAATCTATATGTATATATGAAGAAGTTAATATATAAATATATAGTAGGTTCTAGTATATATAGAAAAAACGTGTATTTCTAATGTATGTAGACATCTGTATTTATAGACATATAATCCATATTTGTATTTATATATTTTATACATATATAATCTATATATTTGTAAATAATATAGTTGTATATATTTCATTTACTTATATATTTGTATATAGTAAGTTCTACTATATATAGAAAAGACCTGTGTATTTCTAATGTATGGAAATATGAAATGTACTTTTTGTCTCCTCAGTTGCAAAAATAAAATAGTTTTTTTCAAATAGATTTTACTCTACTTTGAATTTTTCTTCTTAATTATATTAGATTGTGGGGAGGGGATGCTGAAAGGAAAGAGGATTCTTCCATTGGTTTCTATGAATGAAAAGGTACTTTAACAATGAAACCTAAGCAGGTAGAATCTGATTCTTGGTACTTGATGTATGAGCTAGCAAGATTGCATGAAGAAAGAAGCCTTACAAGACGAGGAATCATCCTGTGAAGGGGAAATTTGTCTCCAGTGCTCAGCTGTGATGCAGTCCTTATCCTCCTGTCTGGCTGTGACCTGTCTCTCTGACATCAACCTCGTAGGACCCCACTTCCTACCCCCTCCACACACCACCCATTCTTCCCTCCGCCCCATACACCACCACTTCCTCCCTCCCTCTCCCCCCTCCCTCTCCCCCCCTCCCCCCACACATCACCTTTCCCTCCCTCCCTCCCTCCCTCCCTCCCTCCCTCCCTCCCTCCCTCCCTCCCTCCCTCCCTCCCTTCTTCCCTCCCTCCCCACCATCAGAGAACACAGTCACTGGGATCATTTTGCAACACATTGGATTTATTGACATCAGCATGGGGGTGCCCCCTGCGCTGGTGAGATCTCCGAGTCTCCTGGCAGCTGGGCCTGAACTTAGTCGCTGCTGAGGGACGAGATGGAGACGGTCATCACGTCACTCGGTGGATCCGACGAGGTGGAGACGGTCATCACGTCACTCAGTGGCTCCGAAGAGGTGGAGACGGTCATCACGTCACTCAGTGGCTCCTCCAGCTGGGTCTCCTGGCTCAGTGGATCCTCCAGCTGGGTCTCCTGGCTCAGTGGGTCGGGCTCGCCCACTGGCTCCTCCTTCACAGGCACTTTGCATGGAGGAAGCTCCTGGCTCGGCGGCTGGCTGGGCCCGGGTGGTGCTGGCCCGCTCCCTGCCTCAGGGGCTCCCATGGCTGCCATCTTTTTCCCAGCGGCACGTTTCTTCCCTCCTCTCCCTCCAGGACCTGCTTTTCCTCTCTTGCCCACCTTGGGCATCTGGAAGGACAACAGGGAGATCACAGTGGGGCTCTGTCCGGGTCAGGGGAGAGGATGGAGGAGGCTGGGAACAGGGACGTTTCCTGAGAAGCGGTGAGGGCCGGGCTGGGGGTTGTGCCAGGTGAGGACAGGGCAGGAATCTTGAGGAAGGAATCAAGGGGAAGACGAGGAGGAGCTCGGGTGGGTCACTCACCTTCTTCGGGGTACTGGGACTCGCCTCAGAAGAGGACTTCCTCTTTCGCGTCTCCCCGGCCTCGGCCGGCGGTCCCGAGGCTCTCTTCTTTGGCGCCATCTTGCTCAACTCAACGTCTCCAACGTCAATGTCAGGCTGCCTGGTCTACGTGTACGTGCCCCTTTCGTCCACGACAATGAGGCAACCACGTTTCTGAGCTTTGATTGGTCAGCATGCCACCACCCAGCCAATGGTAGCCCTGGGCGGGAAGGACGGGCTTAGACGTCACACAGCACCGCCGGGACATGGCCGAAGAAGTGTGGGGGTGGGGTGGCATTTGATGAGGAAGGCAGGATGCTATGATTGGAGAAAGGGAGATTATGGTTAGCACTCCTAAAGATGGTTCCCAACTGACATGTCACCCCACTTCACCTCCCCATGTTCAATTTTGGCAGATCACTTGGCACGGGAGGGTGTTTCCTCCAGATGTTTCCCCAGGACCCCCCCATTCAGTGGTACATTCTGTTCCCTCCCACCTTCCATCATTACCCAGTTTCTGTATGACCTACCTCAACCTCCTCCATGCTAACTGGGACAGGTGTAAGGCTCTGTGAAGATGGCAATCATCTCCCTCTCCTACACATTCCTCTGCTGATCCTCGAGGACCATTCACTTCTTGGATGCTGTGAAAGAACGTATCCATTTCCCTTTCTTATCCCAGTGCCCACAGAGTGCCCCTAAATGTTTCATTCTCATGGTTTAAAGCACTGGCTTCAGGGGGTCAAGCTCAGCAAACACACTGTCTCTGCTGCCTATCTGTATCAAGCTGGGTTCCTCAGAGAAGGAGAAACTAACCCAACAGGGTATTGTGTTTGTGTGTGTGTGTGTTTGTGTGTGTGTGTGTGTGTGTGTAATATACATCATAAACATCTATTTACTATCATATCATATTTGTTTCTGAATGATACTATGTATATGATACGGTTTACTGTAAGGAACTGTCTCACACATTCACACAATGTGGCGGTCTGGAAGGCTGAAATATGTAGCGCAGGTGAGCAGTCTGGAAACTAAAAGTTTCTGCACAGTTGACAGTCAACAAAATTAAAAGGCAGCCTATGGTTTGGGAGGTTTGTGTGCTCCCTCTGGGTTTATTTGGCAGCAGGTAGGACATACCTGGGTCATCTTTTGTAAACTCAGGGTGGAATAAGGAAGCCCCATCTATCTTCCAGGACCATTCTAAGGATGCCTCGCATGCATTGCTCAGTCATGACAGCGATGATTATTTTTCGAATAGTATCTAGCCCACTGCCTGGACCACGGTTGGTCCCCAATAAATAATTTTTGGATGAATAATTTAATTTGTTATTAATACTTTTTTTACCCTCCTTATTGTTTTTTTTTTGGAGACAGGGTCTTGCTTTCTTTTCCAGGTTGAAGTGCAGTGGCGTGATCTTAGTTCACGGCAGCCTCCACCTCCCAGGTTCAGTTGTTCTGCCTCAGCCTTCTGAGTAGCTGGGACTACTGGCACATGCCACCACATCTGGCTAACTTTTGTATTTTAGTAGAGACAGTGTTTCACCTTGTTAGCCAGGCTGATCTTGAACTCCTGACCTCAGGTGATCCACCAGCCTCTGCCTCCCAAAGCACTGGGATTACAGGAGTGAGCCACCACGCCTGGCCTCTTCTCTATTTTTTTTTTCACTGCAATTACTCTTATCTAATTTTGAGTTGTATCAAATTCTCAATCCAGTTAAGATTCAAAATTACATATCAGCTTGCTAGTCTAGCGCTTTTCCTTACTCCTCTCCCTGAAACGTCCTCAATTCTGTTTCTATTCTGCGTGGCATTTTCCCCACTCCCGTGGACCGGTGTCCAGGGCCCCATACCCCCCAAAACCCTTCAACTAGTAATTAACTAATTTAACTGTGTATATAACATGTAGAAGAACACTTTTCTGCCAGTAAAAACATTTTCTTTCAAGAAATAGGTAGCAGCTGTTTTCATAAATCCTTCCGGGCCAGACATGGTGGTTCTCAGCTGTAATCCCAGCACTTTGGGAGGCCGAGGTGGGTGGGTCACCTGAGGCCAGGAGTTTCAGATAAGCCTGGCCAACATGGCAAAACCCCGTCTTTACCAAAAGGACAAAACTTAGCCCAGTGTGGTGTGGTAGGTGCTTGTAATCCCAGCTACTCAGGAGGCTGAAGCAAAGAATCGCTTGAATACAGGAGACAAAGATTACAGTGAGCCAACGTTGCACCACTGCGCTCCAGCCTGGGCAACAAGAGTGAATCTCTGTCTCAAAAACAAACAAACAAACAAACAAACAAACAACAAACAAAAACTCTTCTCCATATGAATTGAGCCTACAATTATCTTGCTCTTAGAATTTCTGTAGCGCTTATGCACACATAAAGTGTGCGAATTCACACTTGGTTCTGGGGACTCCTTTCAGGAATGCCAGCTAAGATGTGGCCCCTAAACCAGGGGACGTGCCTCGAGTGCCTCTTCAGTCCTCCTACAGTGTGTAATAGAGTGCTGCTTCTGCAGCATTGAGCAGCAGTCCTTGAGAGGGTAGAGTTTGGAATTTGATCTTTGCAGACTTGAGTTTTAATCCTGACTCTGTAACCTATAAGCACCATAAGAAAGGTACTCAAGCTGTCTATCTCAGGTGTCCAGTGTGGATAGTACCCATTTTACAGGGTGCGATGGTTAATTTCAGGTGTCCACGTGGCTGCCTTAAGGAATACATCAGGAATTGGTAAAGCATTGTTTCTGAGTGAGCCCGCAGGTATTCCCAGGAAGATTGGTGTGAGCTGGTGGACAGAGTGAGGAAGATGCCTTTAGTAGAGACAGGCCCCATCCAATTCTCTGAGGCCCAGATAGAAGAAACAGGGCAGAGGAAAGGCGCTTTCCTCCCTTTCTCTCCTGGAGCTGGGACTCTTCTTTTCCTGCCCGTGGACACCACAACTGCAGGCTCTTCTCATACTGAGAGTTACACCATCCACTTCCCTGGTTCTGAGGCTTTTGGATGTGAACGGAGTCACACTCCTGGCATCCCAGGGGCTCCAGCTTGCAGAAAGCCTGTGCTGAGACTTTTCACCCTCCAATTCCTTTAATAAATCTGCTCTGATCCATCTTTGCTGGTATCCTGTTGGTGGCGTCTCTCAAGAGCCCCGATTAATCCATAGGGGTGATGTGAGGGAGCAATGAGGTCGTGCATGGGGAGCATTTCACAGCCTGCCTGACACATGCCCATGTCCTATAGGCTGCAGCTGCAGCTATTCTAGAGCTTAGTGTCAGGGCTCAAAACAGTGGAAGGCCTTGCCTCCGGCACCCAGCCATCGTGTTGATCTTTTCCTGTCATTTTTCAATTCCAGAGTGTTTTCTGGAGAGCAATTCGGTGTCCCAGGTAGTATTGACGAGGGGCTAAAATCAATCCTTACCTGTGGGAATCTGAAGCTGGGAGTGAGCAAAGGTGAGAAAGTTCTCAGGAGTCAGGAGCAGAGGAAGCTGCATGGTCAAGGGGAATCGACATGAGCCTTCCTGCCGTGTGTTCTGTTTCCTGCGGTCTAATGAGAAAGAGACATATGTATGTCTACATCATCTCATACTTAGCTCTTTAATATGTACAAGGTGTTTTCAAATTTTCCCACCGACTGTCCTTGACAGCTGAGAACATCAAGATTACCTGTTGTTGGTGACTGTTGTCAAGGGGATCCGCCCTTTAGGGACACAGGAAGATTTGCCTAAAAACGTCAGGAAGCTTGATATCTATTATTTTATTATAAAAGTCAACTGCAGTTTTGCTGATGTATTACTTCTTTACTCATTCCAATGTTTATTTTAAGCCTGAGCTTGTGGGTAGTTGGAGAAGGAGGGAAAATATTTAACACTCTTATTAACTAATTTTACTGTGTATTTAACATGTAGAATAAAGAAAGACTTAAATGAAGATGTAGTATTTGTGAATGCTCCAACAAACTAAAAGATTATTTAAATTATTGATTTCTGATTGAACCATTTATTGTCTATAATGAATTAAAAGTTTGTGAAAATAAATTCAGTGACCTTTGGCATCTATAATTTCAAAACCGTAGTAATTTTTCAAAGCTGAAAATGCCTGAAACACCAGTCTGCCAATCATCACAATAAAACATGAAGCCCCAGTGAAAGAGCTAGTCAGGATGGGTTCCCAATAAATAGCAGTTGAAGCTCCAACTACCATCAGGTGATGAGAAAACACGGTGTAAGGGCCACGTGTAATTTTTTATATGCCAAAAGAATCGTCACACACCGTTTTGGCTTGCAGAGCTTGAATGGCAATATGGCATTAAAATAAGGTACACAAAATTAATTATTGAATGTAATTTTGAAACACACTGCTAAAGTGCTCCCTAATATTCAACAAGCCCAAAAGTGACCACTGACAAGACTTCGTTTATTGCAGTTTTTATGCTGTCATTATGGAAAAACTGTAGCAGAAAGTTCACCAACCTCCCTTTGGAAAGAGACGTACAACCACGGCCAATAGGCTTTCCTAAAGGACAGCAGGAGCTTTTCACTGGGACTTGTTTCCCGTCCATAACATACAAATAGTTATTGTTCGGGGTCAATACAGCCTTGCAAATACACAGGCTTTGAGTTATACCAAGCATGCTCGTCCTTATATGGTATGTCCATATATGAAATACAAAAGAAATACACCACAAAATGATGGTGTTCAGGACATGGGGGAAGGCCCTGTTTCTGTGGTACAGCGTAACACATGGAAACTGCCTATAAAGCCAGTGCTTCACAACCCACGCCCTTATTACATGGAAATTCACGTTTCCATAATCACATAAAAGTTTAATGTGCTATTCATTATAAGATTAAAGGTTATGAGTTATTCTGTGCATGTAATTATTGACAACTGGAAATTAAATCGCGATAATTTTTTACTCTATTCCTTTTAAAATGATAATTTTCTTTCTCCTTTTGCCTGAGAACCATGCTTCGACAATCATAACACCTTACCTTCCTAAAGTAAATGATCACAAATAGAATATATATTTTATATATGATATATAGTTATATTTATACATTATATAACAATATAAATATATATTTATATTTTATCTTTGTATTGATAAATTTATATAAAATATAAATATTTATATATAAATCTATATATGAAATCTAGCACATAAACCTAAATATATAAAAATAATATATAAATATATAGAGGTAATTATATACAAATATATAAAGATAAATACAAATATATATATATATATATATATACATGTACACATTAGGAATACACAGGTCTTTTCTGTATACAGCAAAGACCTGTGTGTTTATATAAAAACCCATGTATATAATATTTACAAATATGTATTTTATATATATATACACATTAGGAATACAGTAGTAGCAAATTCTACTATATATAGAAAAGACCTGTGCATTTATATAAGTATATATGAATGTAGATTACACATATAGACATTACAAATACACAGGTCTTTTCTACACATAGCAAGTTCTATATTATTCTCTCA